CTCCTGCCATCAAGCAGAGGGAGCAAACCAGGTAGATGGGGGGAATGGAAACAAGTTCCTAATGAAAGAGGTAAAAGAATACCCTCCTGATCCCCATCACCTCCCCAGTTACCCTTAAAGAACGTTTTATGTTCTTTATGAACATAATTTATGTTCTTTATGAAGGGTAACTAGTTTGCTAACCCAAACATGAATGATTAGATACAGGGCTCTTAAAATTACCCTGCAGGCTATAGGATCTTACTCGATTTTTACCCCAAATTTCAACATGTTACTGTTCTAAGCCAGCGAAGTCACACTTCGCTCCAGCTTAAGTCAGTTCAGAAAAGTACAAAAATTCGACAGGACGCTGGAAAGGCAAGAGAAACAGGAAAAAAGTCCTCCCTGTCCATCCTTCATGGCTAAAATGCCCAATAGAAAATTTAAGGATATTAAGGCCCTGTCCTACTGAAGCTGTCACCACAGTGCAGTGGTTCTGCAAGACACTCCTTCAGCACTGAGTACTTACGCAGCACAGTTCACTTCATCTTTTATGATCTCAGATATACATTTAGAGGAAACAATTGTTCAGTTTTAGGCAAAAGCTCAGTGGTTCTGGTGACAATGAGGTTTGGATCAGGCTGATGTAACTGTCCCCCCCAGGCCCCAATGACAGACACATGTAGAAGGAAGCAGATCTCTACTCGACTATATTCATGCTATCACTAGCAGACAGTATCAGCTTCTGGGGCTGAAAGTGATAGAGGTTCTGCATTTGTCTTTATCAAATTTATCTCAAGGACAATTTCTATCCCTCAGGCTGGAAAGAGGTTAATGCAGGTAATACTGCAAAGATGTTTTTCATGATGAAATAAATAGCTGTAAGGTGTTCTGACGGACTTACATGCTAATTTAGAAATCTTCCAAACCCAGATTTCAAAATACAAAGATAAGCAGCATGATCTATATGGGGCTTAGTTTGCATGATTAGTTTTCCTGTGAAGGCAACACAAGCAGAAGGAGAAACATTCCTGGGAGCCGTCAAACATTTGTCTACAGATAAAAATGAACTGACATTTTAACAGCAATGCTGCCGTTCCACTCCAAAGACTTCCTGTACAACAGTCTGCTTGAGCTGGGGAGTGAAATGTTCCTGAAGGCCAAAAATGCAGTCAGTGGGAAAATCCGGATTGTTTTCTTTGAATTGGTCAGTCCACTGAGTATCATCAGGGGAACACAGAATTGTGCAGGACTGCATATCAACAGAAACAGATGTAGGATCAGAATTTGCTTTCCAGAGTTTTGAAAAACCTGGGGCATTCTCCAAACATTTTCCTGATCAAGAAAATTCAAATGCTTTACCTTCTTTCCTGAGTATTTCATCCCCATTGTATTCAGCCTAAGTTAAAACATGTTGTTTCCCACAAATACGAACTTGAATTAATAAATTTGCATACAATGAAAATGGTTATTTCTTACATAGCGTTAGCATAAACCCCAAACACAAGGACAGGTTGGAAAATGAACAAGAAAATTATGTGGTCTGCTTAAATTAGCATTCAGTGCAATGAGAGGCTTCTGTCCAACTTTTGCAGATTATAAAGGGGGAAAAAACCAAAATGCAGCAACAAAATTCAGCCACTAGATCTCCCAGTTCATACAGTTTCTTATTGATAGGCGTGGACATTGATCAGCTAATCCAGACAGCAATCATTGATCAAAACATTAAAAAAACCAGCA